CAGATGAGTCAGCAACAAGCTGATCACTGCGTAATTTAAAAAGGGGGATGTTTGGAACTCTGCTAGAATATGGAACTTGCTAGCGCAAGTTAGGAAGGATGTAATTAAATAATATATCCTCTCCTGCCTCCCTAATCATCCCCACATTATCGCGGCCCTTGGTGGACACAGAGGAGCACTGGGCCAGGCCACACTGGGAGCGCCTGTGGGGGGCACCTAGTTCCCGCCCCCTCAAAAAATTGTGCCTGGGACACAATTTTTGAAATTTACTGCATGCTGTATACTAAAAGAGAATTATATGAAAATGATGTATCAGTAGTATTTGACCCCTACTAAATTAGCAAAAATGTATAGGACAAGCACAAATATCTGCTGGAAATGTAAAGAAAAAGAAGGTACCTTTTATCATATGTGGTGGCCTTGTAAAGTAATAAAAGCTTTCTGGGAGATGATATATAATGAAATGAAAAAAATGCTTAAAATAAATTTTAAGAAACCAGAAGTCTTTTCATTAGGAATTACAGGTACTGACATACCAAAGGAGCAGAAAAGACTTTTTATGTATGGAACAACAGCCACCTGGATGCTATTGGCTGATGGACTATGCAGAGATGGCAAAATTGACTGGAAACCTCAGAACCAAGAGGACAAAAACTTTATAAAAGAATGGGGGGGAAATTATAAGTTATTTAGGAGACCACTGTAAGCAGATGGAAACAAAGGCAGGATCTTGATTTCACTTGTAGTGTAAAAATTACAATGGATAATATGGTCTGATATTAAAAAAACTGGAGTGTAGATGAATATACAGTAGTAGATGTTCAAAATGAGACCCCATGGAGGGGATGAGGGGAAGTCTTGAGATTCAGAGAATCTCTTTATATAGATATACGGTACTTTTTATTCTTTGTTTATTTGTGTTTTGTATTTGTAAAAACCAATAAAAATGAGAGAGAGAGAGAGAGAGAGAGAGAGAGAGATTTTTTTTTAAATGTGACTGGGGCCATGGCCACCATGCACCCCCATGCTATGCCCCTGGTTTCAAGGCCTGAATTTCCTAGCCAGCAAGGTGGGGGCTCTGTTTGCTCAAAACCTTTGAAGGGTACCTGATGCTACAATGAATGGAAGTGAAAAGAATAAAACCTTCAGAGGAAAGATCCACTTGGAAATCGCCTCTATAGACCAATGGTAGCTTAAAATTCCAGGTGTTGTTTTTTTCAGAAGGGGAAACTTTAACGAACTGAGCTGAATTTAGTCAGCTGTAAGAGCAGAGCCCTTGCTTCCTCCCCTGTTTGCCTGCCTTTCCCCTGTTATGCAAAAGTTCTATTTATGTGCAGCTTTCAAGGTCGATTTAAAGTCAGGCTTAGGAAGATATCACGCAATGCCGCTTTCCCCAAAAATCTTCTTTCTGCCTGGAAGCCTCCAGACAAAATGTCTGAAAAGAGGCTCGGCTGGCAGACTCGGCTAGCCTCGAGTCCTGGTCGAAAGCCGGAGCGCAACGCTACAAAGATTAGTTCCTAAGAGAACTCTCCGGGATGATTCAGCTCGCCTAGAGAGACAAAAGGATTAAGCTATTCGAGGTAACACATCACTAAGGTAGATTGTAAAAATGGTCAGGAGTTTAATTCCTGTAGGCTGGTGGAGGACGCCAAGATAGGATTCCAACTGACAAAATAATGGCGTGCAGGATCCCAGGGGCAGATCTGAAGGAGAATGAAAAGAATGTCGTCCATTCATTCTGTAGTTTAGGTATCAAGTAGCTTGGGCAGTGGTATTTTCCCGCATATTCAGCTCATATTCACTGAAAGCCAGTGTGGTGTAGTGGTTAAGAGAGGTAGACTCGTAATCTGGTGAACCGGGTTCGCTTCCCCGCTCCTCCACATGCAAGTGCTGGGTGACCTTGGACCAGTCACACTTCTTTGAAGTCTCTCAGCCCCACTCACCTCACAGAGTGTTTGTTGTGGGGGAGGAAGGGGAAGGAGATTGTTAGCTGCTTTGAGACTCCTTCGGGTAGTGATAAAGCAGGATATCAAATCCAAACTCTTCTCTCTTCTTAACACACACCAAGGGTAGCCTCTGCGATACCTTCCAGTTTGCTAAGAGTGTTGAGAGTTGCTGGGAGATCTTCATTCCCCCCACAGAACTACAATTCTCGAGAGCGGCTGGGCAGCCTTCTTCCCCAGGACCGCTGGAAATTGTAGCTCTAGCAGGGAAATGGAGGCCTCCTAACAACTTTCGGCACCCTTAGCAAACTACAGTTCCCAGAATCCTTTGGGGAAGCCACGACTGTTTAAAGTGACATCATAGTGCTTTTTTTCTCTTTACATTTCCAGCAGGTATTTGCATTCTATGGAACAAGTACAAATACCTGCTGGAAATGTAAAGAAAAAGAAGGTAGAGTGGTACCTCAGGTTAAGTACTTAATTCGTTCTGGAGGTCCGTTCTTAAACGGAAACTGTTCTTAACCTGAAGCGCCACTTTAGCTAACGGAGCCTCCTGCTGCTGCCACGCTGCCGGAGCACAATTTCTGTTCTCATCCTGAAGCAAGGTTCTTAACCCGAGGTAATATTTCTGGATTAATGGAGTCTGTAACCTGAAGCGTATGTAACCTGAAGCATATGTAACCCGAGGTACCACTGTACCTTTTATCATACGTGGTGGACGTGTAAGGTAATAAAAGCTTTCTGGGAGATTATATATAATGAATGGGGGGGATGTTTAAAATAACCTTTGTTAAAAAAAAAAAACAGAAACATTTTTATTAGGAATTATAGACACCGGAATCGCAAAGGAGCAAAATAGACTTTTTATGTACGGGACAACAGCTGCTCAGATGCTACTAGCTCAGAGATGGAAAGAAGAAAACGTCCCTACCAGAGAGGAAGGGCAAACTAAGCTGACGGACTACGCTGAAATAGCAAAGCTGACTGGAAAACTCAGGAACCAAGAGGACAAAAACTTTTTAAAAGAATGGGGAAAATTTGTAACTTATCTAGGAGACCACTGCAAGCAGATGGAAACACTAGCAGGATTTGAAACCCACTTGTAATGTTATAAATACTGTGTACAATATGGATGGATACAAAATATAGAATATGGAATAATATGCAGTTGTACATGTTGACAATAGGACCCATGGAAGGGGTGGGTGGAAGTCTCAAGATTCAGAGTAATCTCTGTATAAAGGCAAAGGGGACCCCTGGCCAACTCTGGAGTTGCGGCGCTCATCTCGCTTTATTGGCAGAGGGAGCCGGCGTACAGATTCCAGGTCATGTGGCCAGCATGACTAAGCCCTTTATGGCAAACCAGAGCAGCGCACAGAAATGCCATTTACCTTCCCGTCGGAGCAGTACCTATTTATCTACTTGCACTTTGACGTGCTTTCAAACTGCTAGGTGGGCAGGAGCAGGGACTGAGCAACAGGAGCTCACCCCGTCGTGGGGATTCGAACCGCCAACCTTCTGATCAGCAAGTCCTAGGCTCTGTGGTTTAACCCACAGTGCCGCCCGTGTCCCACTAATCTCTGTATAGGGATATGTCTTTGGAATGTTATAAATTCATATTTGTAAAACCAAATAAATATGATTTTTTAAGAGAAGATCTGCCTGCCTTCTGGGGTAACACTACCAGCCCCCCTCCAAGACCAGCCCTGTTCTGTGTTCCTGGCACACGCTACACCCCAGAACTGCCACTGCAGGGCAAAACTGCTCACCTTCCCATAATTCCTTTTCAGCCACACACAAACACACACCCAGGAAAGGAAGAGATTTCAACAGGAAGTTTGATAATAAAGGCTGTGGCGGTTTTAGGCAGCAATTTAAAGTGCATTACTGTGACAAGGGAGATTAAGTCATTATCCTGTTACTCTTTAAATATCTGTTTGTAAGGCTATTGTTTTATGGCTGGAAATAGATGTTTTATTTGTCACCCCTCTGTCCCAAATGGGTGTTCAACGCCTTTCCGGTTCCAACTGATCAAGACGGCAAACGTGAAAACCGCAAAATGCTCTTTTTGCTGTTAAAGATATGAAAGGATGACACAGCTGACAAAGGACAGCTGAGCCACCGGGAGCAAGGAGAGGGATTTCTGTGACATGGCTAGCAGGCTAGAGACAAGGCTGCCTCCCATTTCAAACAAGCGGAAGGGGGGCTGTCACCAGAAAGGCAGGCTGATGCAAAGCCAAGCCAGCACTGAGCAGGTGGACGTCTGCATGCTGACAAGCAGGGCAAGAGATCTGGTAGCGGCTTAGTCCTCCTGGTTCAAGAAGCAAGACTTGGATTGAGAAATTAGCCCAAACACTGGGGCTTTATAAAATAAACCTCATTGCCTTACCCGTTCTGTGTAAATCATTAATGTTGCCAATGGAAGTTCTCTCCCGGATCCGGCCTCTCGTGTAGAAAACAAATTCTCATCACGAAACAATAAGATTTAAAGCTTTACTTGCACAAACTTGGTTTAAAGGTAAAGGTAAAGGGACCCCTGACCATTAGGTCCAGTCGTGGCTGACTTTGGGGTTGCGGCGCTCATCTCGCTTTATTGGCCGAGGGAGCCGGCGTACAGCTTCCAGGTGATGTGGCCAGCATGACTAAGCCGCTTCTGGCGAACCAGAGCAGCACACAGAAATGCCGTTTACCTTCCCGCCAGAGTGGTACCTATTTATCTACTTGAACTTTGACGTGCTTTCAAACTGCTAGGTTGGCAGGAGCAGGGACCGAGCAATGGGAGCTCACCTCGTCGCAGGGATTCAAACCGCCGACCTTCTGATTGGCAAGTCCTAGACTCTGTGGTTTAACCCACAGCGCCACCCCCATACCTAAACTTGGTTTAAACATTACAAAAACAATAAACGATGCCTTGTATCAGCTATACCTTTCTATTCTTACATCTACTGATCCCAGTAAAAGGCTCAAGAACGTATCTTTGCCCAAAACCAATTTTTTCAGCTTAAAAATCAAAAGAACTCTGTCTCCCTCTTCTTCCAGCTTGCTGCATGTTGGCGAATGCCTAGGGAGATCTCTGCGTGCTTGCAAAACAAACTTTTGGCTCAGAGCGGTGTGGGCTACTTCATTAACGTAAGTAAACTCTCTGAAAGCCTGTGATTCAGTCGCAAAAACTTAGCTTACCCCACCTTTGCTATGGAAAAATACTAGCCTTTGTACATTTGTTCAAATACCCCAATATCACTCAACTGTCCTGATTTGAGCAGCACATCACTGATTCACAGAAGCCGCCCTTGCTTCTGTTTGAATTCTGGGATGTTCCACTTCCACTGCCTCACCTTCACTGCCTCCTCCTGGGTGGCCGGGACGGCCTTTGCCATGGCCACCCCCGCACAGCCGGAAGTGGGAGCAGCACATCTGGAAGTAGACACACTGCTTCTGCCAGCGAAGAGGAATAGACCTTGAGAAGGCCATGAGAAAACCTACTGATGAAGCCAACCACCACCGAGGCAGCAGAGGACAGACAGACAGCAAAGGTTGTCAGGAGCTCGTCCTGCACTCAAGTAGGACCCTGGCAGAGACACATGCCTGACTGGCATGTTGCCTCCCTCCTGGTCGATCGTTCGGGAGCTTCAAAAGCTTTCTTCTGCCCGAACATCACAGCGACCGATGCCAACCGACACCGGCACACTTAGGGATCCGCAGAGTCTTCACAGCTTGAGTGACAGACCTCAGCAACTAAGCAGTTTGGCTAATCTGCTTTATTTACATATAAACACACACAGAGCACTGCAACATGGCTCCCTCTCTCTCTAGCATCAGACAGCAAAGAGAAAAAAGAACAAAGGACAATAGTCCCACTTCACGGAACACAGTAACACAAATATCCTGTCTCCGTCACTTCCCACACTGTGGAGTCAAAACATATACCGTCATGTGAAAGACAACAATCCCATGACTGCAGTCACGGAGCAGGAATTCTAACAAAGGTAAGGCAGGGGCAGCAGAGGTGGAGCTAGCCTCTCCGGCACCCAGAACGGCACACATGCTGTGCACCTGGAGGCAGGACCCATAGGGGGTGGAGCCGCCCATAGGGGGTGTGGCGAGCCGCCCATGGCGGGCTGCTTCCTGGGTGGGGGAGCCACGCCGCTTTGCCAGCAGCCTTCCTCCATTCCCTCTTCCTTTTGGCAGCTCAGGGGAGGCTTCCCTCCCCAGAAAGCAGCCCAGGAGTGGGGGGCAAAGGCGTGCTGCCCGCCTGTGACTCCCAAGCCTCCCCCGAGCTGTCAAAACGAAGGAAGAAGGGGGGAAGTCCACTGGCAAGGCCGCTCCACTCCTTCCCCTGACAGCTCGGGGTAGGCTTGGAAGTCGCAGGCATGTGGCGTGCCAAATGTCACCCCCCTCAGTGATGGCACCCAGGGCACACCGCTCCCACTGCCGCCTTCCTCCGCCCCTGAGTGGCAGGCAAGGTTTGCTGTGGCTTGAAAATTGGGCAGGTGGGGGCAAGAAAGAGCACAGCTTTGAGTGGGTGGGAGAAAGAGCAAGGAATTTGTGCGGGTGGGGGGTCTAGAAAGAGCCTGTGCTCCCTGATTGGCTGGGATGGGCTATGTGACTAATCCAGGAAGGGGAAAGGATGCAATTCTTGAGGGGTTGTGCTGGTGCAGGAGTTGCAGCCAATAAGAGAAACAACAGAGGAACAGGTGAAAAGGTGATTTGGTTTCACAATAAATAATTTTGACAATATTCAAATTGTCAAATTCAATATTCAAATATTGAGGTTCTATATTTGGCCTGAAAAGCAAAACTAGAAAATATTCGGTGCAGTCCTAAAACTTCCTATTGCCTAGCAGAATACCAGGGGGTTGGTATTCATAAGAGGTACCACTTTCTAGCCAAGCATTGCAACACGTATTAATTTTTTCCATGGTAATTCAAGTTAATTCAGTGTGTTTCTTTCTCCCTCTAGTGGCTAAGTTGTGCAAAAGTACTCAGAAGCCCCACAACCCTTGAGACTCCCTAGGCTTTTAACTTGGAACAATGTTCTTTGATGCCATTTCAGGTCCGTCTTTACCAAACAGTGGGACACTCAAGACAGGAGTTTTTTCCTTCAGGGAAGAAAGCAGGATTTGCCAACAAAGAGGGAAGGGAGGAATTTACAAGTAAATACAATCAGCAGGGATGGTGCGATTAATAATAATTGATCTTAACAAACAAAAAATTGCAGGGTGTGTGAAGAAATATTTATTTTGCCTTTCCTGAGTTTCCTACTAATCCATTTCATTGAGTGACCACAACGTCTGGTGCTACTAATGGGAGGAGAAGAAAAACCTCTCTTTATCCACCGTGAATCCAATTGAAAGGACAGTTGAATGGTTTTCCTGAGGGTTTGTGAGAGAGGTTTATCTGCACATGCCTGGAGACTGAAGAACGCATTCAGCTTCTCTGGTGCGAATACAGAGAAAGTTTTTTTTAAAGAAGTAAAAAGTGAGAAAGAGTTCAGGAAAAAGCAGGAAGCACAAGCACTCTCAATGCGTCATCCAAGCTATCAAGTAAACATCACCCAGTCTGAATCAAGGTAAAGTGATATAGCCTGGAGTTGGGATGCCAGTGAATTGAAAACCTTGTAGCAGGGAGTTCCACAGGCTAATTTCAACAAGCCTTCTAAAATCTTTATCCCACTTGATATATGTCTTGGAACTGGATCGTAAGTATGTGCTGTTGTTTTAAACTTTTATATTTATAATGGTTGTTGTTGTTTTTTAAAAAAAGTTTTTCTATATGAAACTTTCTTGGAGGGTTGTGGGATTTTTTAAAAAAAAATTATTGGTTTTTACCATTTACATTTATATTCAAATCATAATCATACTGTAAAGGATTCACTGAATCCTTGCACTTCCCTCTGCCCCTCTACCGGTTCCGTCAGAATTCTTTTTTTTCAACTGCATCTTATAAAATTCTCCGTTTTCTTAAAAATCCCTGTTTTCCCATAGTTCTTGTGACATTGCAAGTGTTGTTACAGTCCATTTTTAGTTGCTTACAGTGTTCTCCAAGATAAATTATAATTTTTTCCCATTCCTTAGTAAAATTTCTATCTTCTTGATTTCTGATCTTCTTGGCATACGAAACTTTTTGAACTGCGACCAAAGAAAAGTATTCTTATATGCAACAGCTGCTGCCAGAATACTTATAGCAAAAAAATGAAAGGGGGAGAAAATCCCATCTGTTTGAGAGGGCAAGTCAAATTTTGTGAATATATAGTTTCGGGTAGACTTACGGTGGCGATAAGAGGACAAACAGATCAAAAATGAATTGAAGAATGGGATTGTGTAAAGGAGTATATGAAAAAACATTGTTCTGGGACAAATATATCGATATGCAATGAATAAAGTTTACAGGGAAGAAATATTGAGGAAATGGATGGAAATGGAATAAAAACAATGTAATATTAATAACACAATGAATAAAAGAAGATTAAGGGAAAGAGGTCATAGAATCATAGAATCATAGAATCATAGAGTTGGAAGAGACCACAAGGGCCATCGAGTCCAACCCCCTGCCAAGCAGGAAACACCATCAGAGCACTCCTGACATATGGTCGTCAAGCCTCTGCTTAAAGACCTCCAAAGAAGGAGACTCCACCACACTCCTTGGCAGCAAATTCCACTGTCGAACAGCTCTTACTGTCAGGAAGTTCTTCCTAATGTTTAGGTGGAATCTTCTTTCTTGTAGTTTGGATCCATTGCTCCGTGTCCGCTTCTCCGGAGCAGCAGAAAACAACCTTTCTCCCTCCTCTATGTGACATCCTTTTATATATTTGAACATGGCTATCATATCACCCCTTAACCTCCTCTTCTCCAGGCTAAACATGCCCAGCTCTCTTAGCCGTTCCTCATAAGGCATCGTTTCCAGGCCTTTGACCATTTTGGTTGCCCTCCTCTGGACACGTTCCAGTTTGTCAATGTCCTTCTTGAACTGTGGTGCCCAGAACTGGACACAGTACTCCAGGTGAGGTCTGACCAGAGCAGAATACAGTGGCACTATGACTTCCCTTGATCTAGATGCTATACTCCTATTGATGCAGCCCAGAATTGCATTGGCTTTTTAGCTGCCTCGTCACACTGTTGGCTCTTGTCAAGTTTGTGGTCAACCAAGACTCCTAGATCCTTTTCACATGTACTGCTCTCAAGCCAGGTGTCCCCATCTTGTATTTGTGCCTCTCATTTTTTTGCCCAAGTGCAATACTTTACATTTCTCCCTGTTAAAATTCATCTTGTTTGTTTTGGCCCAGTTCTCTAATCTGTCAAGGTCGTTTTGAAGTGTGATCCTGTCCTCTGGGGTGTTAGCCACCCCTCCCAATTTGGTGTCATCTGCAAATTTGATCAGGATGCCCTTGAGTCCATCATCCAAGTCGTTGATAAAGATGTTGAATAAGACCGGGCCCAAGACAGAACCCTGTGGCACCCCACTAGTCACTCTTCTCCAGGATGAAGAGGAACCATTGATGAGCACCCTTTGGGTTCGGTCAGTCAGCCAGTTACAAATCCACTGAGTGGTAGCATAGTCAAGACCACATTTTACCAGCTTCTTTACAAGAATATCATGAGGCACCTTGTCAAATGCCTTGCTGAAATCAAGGTAGGCTACATCCACTGCGTTCCCTTCATCTACCAGGCTTGTAATTCTGTCAAAAACGAGATCAGGTTAGTCTGACATGACTTATTTTTCAGAAATCCATGCTGACTATTGGTGATCACAGCATTCCTTTCTAGGTGCTCACAGACTGTTTGCTTAATGATCTGCTCCAGAATCTTCCCTGGTATTGATGTCAGACTGACTGGGCGGTAATTATTTGGGTCCTCTCTTTTCCCCTTTTTGAAAATAGGGACAACATTTGCCCTCCTCCAGTCTGCCGGGACTTCGCCTGTTCTCCAGGAATTCTCAAAGATGACTGCCAGTGGTTCTGAGATCACATCTGCCAGTTCTTTTAATACTCTTGGATGCAGTTCGTCTGGCCCTGGAGACTTGAATACATCTAAACTAGCCAAGTATTCTTCTACTATCTCCTTAGTTATTCTGGGCTGTGTTTCCTTTGCTGAATCATTTGCTCCAAATTCTTCAGGTCGGGCATTGTTTTCTTTATCGGAGAAGACTGAGGCAAAGAAGGCATTGAGGAGTTCAGCTCTTTCTGTGTCCCCTGTTTGCATTTCACCATCTTCTCCTCTGAGTGACCCCACTGTTTCTTTGTTCTTCCTTTTGCTACGGACATACCCATAAAAGCCTTTTTGTTGCTTTTAACCTCTCTAGCAAGCCTGAGTTCATTCTGTGCTTTAGCTTTTCTGACTTTGTGTCTACACGTGCTGGCTATTTGTTTGAATTCCTCTTTGGTGGTTTCCCCCTTTTCCATTTTTGTACACATCCTTTTTAATCTTAACTCAGTTAAAAGTTCTTTAGATAGCCACCCTGGCTTCTTTAGGCACCTTCCATGTTTCTGTCTCATTGGTATTGCCTGACGTTGTGCTTTTACTATCTCCCTCTTAACATACTCCCAGCCATCATGAACTCCCTTTCCTTTTAGTATTACTGTCCATGGGATCTCACCCAGCACTTCCCTAAGTTTTATGAAGTCAGCTTTCTTAAAGTCAAGAAATTGAGTCCTAGTATGCTTGGCTGCTCCTTTCCGCTGTATAGTAAACTTCAGAAGAGCATGATCACTCGCACCTAATGATCCTTCCACTTCTACCCCACTAACCAGGTCATCAACATTGGTTAGGACCAGATCTAAAATGGCTGTTCCTCTTGTTGCTTCTCCCACTTTCTGGACAATGAAGTTGTCTGCAAGGCCAGTGAGGAATCTGTTTGACCTTATGCTCTTGGCTGAGTTTGACATCCAACAAATATCCGGGTAATTGAAGTCCCCCATTACTACTATCTCCCTTCCTTTTGCATGCTTGGCCATCTGTTCCAGGAAGGCATCATCTATGTCCTCCGTTTGGCTTGGGGATCTATAGTAAACTCCCACAATGAGGTCACTGTTATTCTTCTCTCCCTTAATTTTGACCCAAATGCTCTCACTTTGGCTTTGAGGTTCTAAATCTTGGATCTCTTCACAGGTATACACATCCCTGACATATAACGCCACTCCTCCTCCTTTCTTGTCTGGCCTGTTTCTCTGAAATAGATTGTATCCCCCCATTATTACATTCCAATCGTGGGACTTATCCCACCAGGTTTCAGTGATGCCTATTATGTCAGACATGGGTAGAGGGAAGTCTATGTTTTTATGTATTTTTTGGTGTGTTCTATTACATTTTATTTTTTCTTTTGTGTAATTTGTTATTTTTCTTTTTTTGCTTGTGATATTGTTTGGTTTTTGTTACTGCAATTAAATAAAGTATTTGTCAGGGAACTGCCATCAGCTCAGAGGCGAGAGGTGGAAGGGCAGCTGGGTTACAGGGAGCCTTCAAAGATCGCAAGAAGGGAGGAGGGAAGCCCCCCCTCTAGTGGGAAAGAGCTGCAGGGCTCGGAGAATGCAAGAAAGAGCCAGGACACCGTACCTGAGCAAAGCGGGGGGGGAGGCAGGTCCCCCTTTACCCACGCCCTCTGTGCGCAGTAGGTTTACGTGCAGAGAGGGGAGGCGTCGGCTGGGGGTCAAGAGACTACTCTGCTGGGGAAAGTTTAAGGACCGCCCACTCTCAGATTCTGCTAGTGACTGAGCAAGACATGGAATTGAGACGTTCTGGACTGTAAATGTTTTTGCACCGTGTGCTGGTCCTGATGGTTAACTGAGAGGCAAGGTCTGAGTCCAGTCCAAGGTCGAGGGTGCGGTGTGGAGGCTGTCCATCAAAGCTGAAGCGGGGTCCAAGGCAAGGGGTCGGGTGAGGTCAGGAACTCTGGCAGAAGAGCAGGACAGGGTGCAGGCAGGAACAGGCTACCAACAATGTTGCTCCCGCGGACTGGGGCTGGCTGGCTTTTATCTGCCCTGAGGCATAGGGCGGCCCCGGTCCACAGGTGACTCGCCTCTCCTGCCCTGGAGGTGAGCACTCCTCCTGCAGGAACTTCGTTCCCTCCGCCTCTCTGCCCTGAGCCTCTGCAGCTCAGGAGAGGCTGGAGGGTTACCGGACCCAGAGGCAACCTCACTTTCCCCCTGACGGGGCTGAGAGTGGAGCACCTGCAGGCAATGGGTCCTCCATC